CCGGGTACTTAGGTGGCACTTTGGACTTAGCTACTTATAAGTTACTTACGGGGGACTTATACACTTACGATTTCTGGTATTTATAAGTAGGTCGTAAGCTTGTAAGTATTTATAAGTAGGCATGGCTATTTTTAAGCGTTTTAACATGTTTTCAAAAATTGACGGGCCAAACTTTTTTTTTCACCCCAAGAGCCACATATCTTGGCCGTCTTTGCGGTAAAACAGCGGAGCTTCCTTCGTTTGAAGGGCTTCCTCTAACGTCAGCCACCTACGCAAGAATCGGCTGAGACCACATGCCTCAACTGCATCATGGTGCGGCAGCCAAGAAACGCTGGGAAAGCGACAACACCACGGCTGCAGAGAACATAAAAGCTGCATCTATAAAAATATCAAAGAACAAAGCAGAAGAAGTGTACAAAAGGGACAAATCTTGTAATGCGCCGCGGACAATTCGCGGACATCCACTTTTTCACGCGGACACTCCGTCCGCCGCGGACACTTGTATACCTAGCCCTGCTGTCCTAGGCCGCCTATCCACCTTAGCTTGCGGACATTCGCGGACATCCCCAAGCTTGTCACCTGAAGCTCTGTGGGTGTTGGTGTCTGGACAGCCGCGGACACTGGCGGACAGGCGCGGACATTCTACTATGCCGCGGCTTCAAGCCCACGCGTGACCGCCATCATGAAGAGCAGGCTTGTTTCCAGCCACAGGGAGATGTCTCTCCAGGACACTTCCGCTCCTGCTGTTGGCAGCGAGGACACTTCCGCTCTTGCAGCTGGTAGCAAGCGCATCAAATCATTTTCTGCTGTGTAGACAAAGCCATGCGGGCCGAAAAAAACAAAACCGGTTGCTGGAGCCCACGACTCAGCCAAAATAGATCACTTTCATGGCCATATATCGACGAGTGTTTAAAAAGTGTTTCTAAAGAACCAAAAAAACTAAGTAGCTAAGTAGTTTGTAAGTAGCTCGTAAGTATTTTGTCATTTTGAATGATCTACTTATAAGTAGTGCATAAGTGGCTAAGTATATCACAACTAACTTAAACACCAACACCTACTTACCATTGAATTAACCAACTTATAATAGACTTACCATGCCGTAAGTCTACTCTAAGTATACTTTAAGTATAGTTCAACTAGCTAAGTCCCGCGCGCCCCCTAAGTAGTATCGAGAGCCTAGTACGAAGAGCGCACTGTGGTTTGGGACACCCGGGAAATCAAAAGCTAGCCAACATCCTGAAGACCGCCAAAGCATCCACTGAGGCCATTAACATTGCCGAGAATCTCGTATGTCCGACCTGCATCAGACACAAACGAGTTGATGGGGCACGACAGGCCGCACCCCCTAGACAGCTGAGACCAAACCAGATCGTGGGAGTGGACACCGTATATGGCTACCAGGAATCGAACCCGGAGGCAAACTGAAAATGGCCCTCAACTGCGTTTGCTGGTCCACCCGATTCCAGTTAATGATCCCAGTTAGAGACCACACACCTCAAGGAGCAGTTCGGGCATTTCACCAATGGCTCAGAGTCTTCGGATCGCCCGAGGCCATCTATTGTGACCTTGGAAAAGAGTTCAAGGGGCACTTCGAACTCATAATGACATCTACCTGGATCCAGGATCCCTCGAAATGCTAACTCAAAGAGCCATCACAGAGCGAGCCGGCAGAAGCTTCAAGGAGGTCCTCTCCAAAACGTTGATGGAAACAGGCTACAACTCCTGGGATGAGTGGCACCTCATCGTGGACGAGGTCAATGCTACTATGAATCGGTTATCCAACAAGTCCGGTTTCAGCCCTATCCAGCGGATGCTGGGCTACAGCCCCAGACTTCCGGGAGGCATCTTCCAAGGGGGCGAGGGTAGTATTGGAGCGATGTCCCGCTACCATGCCGGTGACGCGCAAGTCCAACGGTCCACAGAGATTAGAACTCAAGCAGCCGTGGCATTCCATCAGGTCGAATGCGAACAAGCTCTAAAGCACTCAGTGTATGCAGGCCCCAAACGTTTCTACGACTATGAGGTGGGACAAACCGTGTACTTCTGGAGAAAAGGGATGGAATGACAAAAGAAGGACTCTCCAGCCTTCTGGCACGGACCTGGAAAAGTCATCCTCTCGGACCTCCCAAACACGGTATGGGTCAGCTATCGGGGAACTTTGGGAAGGCCGCTCCGGAACATCTTCGCCCTATTACCAATGACGAGAAGTTCCAGTTCACCGACTTCCTGACTGACATCGTCAACACCCAGAAGGAGATTCAGAATCACAAGATCAGGAACTACATCATTCTTGATGAGAAGCCCCCGGCCATCGAGGATACACTCCTACCAGAACATGAAGAAGATCGTGATCGACCTGGAGAAGAAGATCCACCACCACCAAAGAAACCTCGCTACCGAATTGAAGGAAAAACAGCAGAGACCGAGGTCGAGTTCAAACCAGAAGAAGAGAACACACCTCCAGACGAGAATCCCAATCATCAAGGACCTGTGCCTATGTCGCCCGGACTTGATGACTACACACCTACAGAACCAGGTGACCAAGATCCCCACGACGAGCGTGAGAGAAGGATGAGCACGGACGACGACCACAGTAAGAACTGAAGTAACAGAACCACCGGTCAAACGGCTCCGGACTGAACATCTTGAAGTTCTATATCAAGAACTTGTTCGACTACGACCACAGAAAGGCAAGGAGATCGTGCTAAACAAACTCCCCGCCAGGAAAAAGGAGAAGTTCCTCAAGGTCATCCTCAAGGAGGTGACCAACAATTTGAGTTCAGGCGCCTATGAGGTCCTAGATCGAAGTGAGTCCGAGCATGTGAGAAGAACCAAAGCTGAAAAGATCATGAAGTCCCGCTATGTCCTCACGGAAAAAGGGGTTGAGGTGGAAGAAGTCGAGAAGCTACAACAAGAGGGCCTACTGATCGAAGACAACGACCCGGCTCTTGGACCCCGAAAGGCGAAGGCCAGACATGTCATGAAGAGCTTCTCTGAACAGGGCGCCGAAGACCTCGCTTCTACGACTCCCCAGGTAGCAAAGGAAACCGTCTTCTTCACCTTACAAGTGATCTCAAGCATGCAATGGGAACTTGGGCACTTGGACTTCATTTCATGCTGGAGACATGATATCCCGGGAACTTTATGCTGAACTTCCGCCCGAAGGACTTCCAGGATACCACCCTCACCAATTGCTTCGCCTGAAGAAAACGTGCTATGGACTCACCGATGGTCCCTATGCCTGGTATCAACATATCACCAGGGTCCTTCAGGAGTTGGGGTACGAGAAGAGTCGAGCGGACCCATGCCTGTTTTACCTTCGGGACAACCAGACCAGGAACACTGTCGGGATCATTGCCCTCGCCACCGATGACATGGTTCATGGAGGTGGTGAACAACACTGGAAGAACATGAAGTGGCTACAACGGAACTATAAAATGGGCAAGTTCACTACAGGCGAAGGAAAATTCACAGGCAAGGAATTGACCCCCGAAGTCAATGGCTCAATCCGAGTCACTCAAAAGAACTACATCGAGAACTATATCAAGAAGATCCCTCTCAGCCGTGAACGTGGAGCCCAAAAATACTCCAGATGCTCAGAAGAAGAGATCGGACAACTTCGACAACTAATTGGAGGCCTGAGCTGGGTAGCCAAAGAATGTCGACCAGACATTGCTGGACGAGTTTCCCTTCTTCAACAAACTATGCCCCATCCCATGATCCGTGACATCCTCGAAGGAAACAGCATCGCAGAAGACTTGCGACGAACCTCTGACCTGGGACTGAGAATACAACCAATACCACTCTCCAAACTCAGGATCGGGGTGGCTACTGATGCTTCCTGGGCCAATGAAGGTCCCAATGCCGACTGTGACAACACCAAGGAGTATTGGACAGAAACACCAATGACCCGGGCACGACACCATGTGACCCCACGTCGGCTGACCTTCCATCCAGGGTCAGTGGCCGACCCAAACGGTCCAGATCTACACCAGATCACCCAAGATCGAAGAACCCAAGCCGGAAGCCAGACTGAACACGACAGATGGGACGGAACAGATGGCATCAAGGACCTAGGAGCCCAATGGACAGGCACCACCACCTTCTTCAAGTCCAAGGACAAGAAGATTACAAACCAGCCCCTGTCCGAGCGATTCCTCCAACTCGCCAAGAAACACAGTCAAGGAGGGTATCTCCTTTTCTACTACCACCAGGACCTTGAAACCTCCGACCACAAGCAGGACATCACAATCGCAGGATGGAAGAGCTATAAGCTCCAACGCTGCACAGCTGGCCAGCTTTCCATTTGTGGCAGCCACAGACTCGAAGTCCCTCTACGACACCATGACCAAGTGTCGCAATACCTCGGCTCACATCGATGACAAACGCACTGGCATCGACCTCACCATCCTCAAGAGTGACTTGGCACATTCGTCGGGTCAGGTGAGATGGGTCGGGGGAGGAAACAAGATTTCGGACCCTTTAACTAAGAAGATGACGCCGTCGTTTTTGAGAAGGGTCATGGAGATTGGCCAATGGTCTCTGAAAGAACAGGGCCATACAGAGATTTCATCCAAAAGAGAGTAGCTGCGATGTGAATAGCATGTCGCATTGGATGAAATCACGATTCCGAAATGTTTAACTCTCGAGGTGGCCCGACGCGGCCCTATGTGCAGGGGACAATGCACATGGTAAAAAGGTCTTGCTGCCCACATAGACATATCCTTGGGGCGGCCGGGTCCAATGCAGCTGGATTCTACGAGATGTCTATGAGTCTATGATACGTCTTCCCAGTTCCTGCACTCCTGGGTCCACCTTCCATCTTTGGACAGAATGGATGAATCTTTGGTAGTAGGTGGTTGTGGTTGACACCAAAAATATCACTCTATGTTTGGAATATATATATATATATAATATATGTATTTTTGTATTTATTATTAGCAAAATTTATAATATATTTTACTACAAACTGTTATACTGTATACCTACATGGGGTGATCTGGGGTGGTTTTAGAATGTTTTCGAGTTCAATGCAAGGGCAATTATGCCACACATGGATGCCCCCCAGCAAAGCCAGCCACACCAAAACATCTCACTCTTTGTCAAACCTGCCATAGCAACTAAGTCATTCTGAGCTTTAACCTCAGGTCTGGGCGGGCCCCACTTTCGTCCTATGGCACTAGCCGTTCAACCTAGACACAAATCTGATCTTCCTGCACGACAAAAAATCTTCCGTAGGGGGTCACATGGCCCTGCTAGAGGTAACCAACTTTAAAAATATGTTTGGTATATACGGTGCGCACAAAAAGCTTCAAGACGTCCAAACAAGTGCGTACCGCCATATCGCCATATCCCTGTTTTATTATCTATGATGTTCATGCCTTCCACGCTCACACTGAAGTGATGATCAAATGAGCGCTTGGAAGTCCGGCCTGCTGGCGCCCCTCCGGGGCTCAAAGCTGACACATAAAAGGAATCGCTGGATTTTCCACTCCAAACAGCTGCAGCCGACATCACCCGACATGGTCGTGCGCAATGAATGATCACAGTGGACACTGGCTTTGTTGGAAAGTGACTGAAAATGCTTGTGGCCCTTAGGCCCTCAGTTAATTTGCCCCGCGCAGAACTTAAAATCGGAACTCGAAGCTCTTCCAAGGGCTGCTGTATTACAAAAATCCAGTGACAGTGACACAGTGACCTAAGTCGCTCGTGTTTCCAGAGCTCAAGTCACTCCAGACCCGGCGCGCTGCGTGCGGTCGGTGACGCGTTTGCTGGAGGCTTTTGCCCGATCGAAGCTGCCACGGTTCACCTCATAGACCAAGTGCATCCGCTTCTTCACGGCCTCGCCATGGGAGACTGCATTGATACCCTTTACCACCAAAAGATGGCTGGACACACATCCTCAAATGCCTGGAGCCACCAAAAGACTATAAAATTGTCATAAAATAGCTACGATTTCGTCCCCCCTCGCACCCCCACAAACTAATTAATGAATGATGGAAAAGGATCTTGGTTCAAGGAATCATTGCCCCGCCCAAGAAGCGTGAGGCTTTCAGAAGGAGAACAAGTCCCTTTCTGTCAAATGGATGGCACCTCGTAGTCCTCCAGAATCAGCTGGATCTCCCCGATGATCCGCAAAGGGATCTCCTTGGCGCTGACCCTCCAAGTCAGCAAACGACTGAGAAGCCAAGCGGGCCCAAACACAAAAACCATCAAAGACCTGAAAGGTCTGCCAACATGCACCACATTTCAACACATGCATCCTCACCTAATAGGTCTTGCCACACATTCTGCACGGCTTCTTCTGCTCACAACTCTCCCAAACCCTTTGCTTGAGAATCGAGTGGCGGTCCCATCGAATGCCACGTGGCTGCCCAAGTCTGCGTAGCAAAGGAGTTTCACATCGGCGTATCCACCATCCGCCGTGACCCCGGCAGCAAAGCCCGACCTTTCAAAGCCAGGTTCAAGAATGCGCGAGGTGAATAATTAGACTACAGTAATTGAGAGCTTGCATCTCCCCCAAGGGAGTGTGCGCTTGGCTTGCGACTGGCCAAAAAAAAACATCCAGTCCAACCCCTTGCCGCGTTTGCCCGTAACCTCTGGAGGGATGGAAAACAAGCACTTCCCCTACATCAGCTACTAGGTGGGAGTCTAGCAGCCTCAGAGCCCAGGGCCCAGCACCCACCCAAAGGTCAACATAGGGGAGAAATGTTTTATACTCTGGATCTGAATGACGAATCTCTTGGTTCGACTTCGACGCCGTTTCCTGTTCTACTAGCGATGGCCTCCAACCTAGTAGCGATGGCCTCCAACCTGCTAGCGTTGGCCTCCAACCTAGTAGCGATGGCCTCCAACCTGGAAGCGATGGCCTCCAACCTAGTAGCGATGGCTTCCAACCTGGAAGCGATGGCCTCCAACCTAGTAGCCATGGCCTCCAACCTACTCCAACCTACTAGCGATGGCCTCCAACCTGGAAGCGATGGCCTCCAACCTACTAGCGATGGCCTCCAACCTGCTAGCGATGGCCTCCAACTTACTCCCCTTGTCTCTGAAGGTGACAGACTTTGGGAAATCACTTTGTCCGCACCAGCCAAGGCACTTGGTCCGCAGCAGCTGAACTCCGTCCGTTTCCACACTGCAGTGCTGAAACTCCTCCAAGACGCGCATGCAACAGTGCACCTGCTCGGGAACCGTCTCACCTGCCAACGCCAGCCCGCCCTATGCAGTGCAAGTGCTAAAGTGAAAGTAACAGACGGCCACTTACTTTCTTGCCCAACGAGTTCTCATCACTTGTTGTGGTCATAGGAATCTTGGGCAACTCAAAAAGCTTGAAACGATCTTTAATAAGCCTTTCGACATACTATCACAACATTCCTACAACACCAACAGGAGTGTTGTCAACAAATTCCTTGAATTCCACTGTTGGTGGCAACGTATGCATTGGGAATTGCATGTAATCACAAAATGTTAGAAAACCACAGTTCCTGATTCCCACGGCCAAGTGTGCCAACACGCAGGGCTATATATACCTGAGAAGGGAGGGGACGATAGCCAGCCTTTGCGTCAAGGGGGGTGCTCCCAAGCATGGCTGTCTTTGTCGTCTTGTCAGGGGCGTGTTGGAGGGGAGAGTGGGGAAAGAGTAGCTGGAAGAAATGGACTCCAGGTCTTTTGTTCCTGGTTTGGTGTTTTCCCTTCCCACGGTGTTTCCCCTTCCC